CTTTGATATGTGTGTTCAATATGTGTGGTCTATATGCGTGTCCTCATAATATGTGTGGTCTCTTTTGTTTACTCTCATGTGTGTGCTTTGATATGTGTGCTCTCATATGCGTGCCCTCGTGTGCTCTCATATGTGTTCTCTCATGCAGGTGTTCTCTCGCGTTTATGTCATATGTGTTCTGTCGCAGTGTTTGTTCTTTGATATGTGAAGTCTAGACGGCGGAAATTCGTTCATTCACTTTCGTTTTTTTCTACTTATACAACACTGTTTGGGGCCTTTTGTCGGGAAAAACGGGGGTCCTTTCGCAGGTGGGTGATTATTGAACGCATCAATCAAAACGCGTTGACGTCTGAGCTCTGTCGGAGTGATTGTCATATTGTTACTAGATGTTCCTCTCTGGTGGAACTGTTTTGAATTTAGTGCTGCAGGATTGGTGTATGCACTGGTGAAAAACATGTTATTTCTGTCTCAATGACGGGAACTGGCTCTCAGCGATTTGGAAGGTGAAAAGTGGTGCCGACATGGAGGTGATGTTCGACATGTCCAAGAAGGAGCAGGAGAGCGGTATCAACCAAAGTTCACCTGACACATTCACAATTTGTCAGCGTACATTGTGAGGCCCTATGCCCTGGGCCCTTCACAACCCACAGACACGATACCGATAACGTGTTTCGAGTGTGTAGCTATCCATAGCCAGAGCCGTTCCAAATAATGGACCGACGCTTGGTCCAAGGGGATTTCGGTGGATTGGGTTTCAATATTGGGCAACCAACTCAACGAATCAGCTTACCAGCGATGATGCACGGGCAGACAACAGGCCCATCGTTTCCTTTTCATGTTATTTGTGATCGTATGTGGCGGTTGAAGAGCCACAAAATGGACCCAGAGGGTCGGCAATCTATCGAGCTAAGAACACTTGGAAATTCACTAAGAAAACACATCACCTTGTAGATCAAACTATTTCACTGGTTTCAATATGTTTCAAACATTTGATCATATGTGATCATTGTGTTTGCAAATGGTTGTTGGCAAATTTAGTGCGACAGGGCTATTCGGATGATTCATGATTGGAGCTATAAACCTAATAAAACATTTGTGGATAGGGGTCCCTGAGAACGCCTTGGTGACCAGCCAGCTTCTTCGTGTGGCCAGGGCAATCCCTCCAACAACTTTAAGAAGCTGCACCGAAGGATTAAACAAGACTTTAAGGCCTGGGTCGGCTGGGTTTGTTCAAACATTCGTTTGAAACGACCGGAAGCTGATGCAACCAGCAGGTGCTCCAACCCAGTTTCTGATGTGGAAACCCAGATGAACTGCAGTGATGCATGAACAATTGCTCATGAGTCCTGGACCAATGAATTCGTGTACGTATCTGATTGTATTTGTGTGTGTGTGTGGAAGAGTGAGGCTGCAATTATTTTAAGCTGGCCAGCATTGCCTAATCACAATTCTCTTCTTGTTGTCTTTGACAGGTGTCTACCAACAAAGACATCATCAGCTTAGAAAGGCGGCAAAAGTTGGTGTCGACAAGGGTTGGATTTGGCTGAAGCCTACCAGCAATCCAGCTCTCGATAAAAAAACGTGAAGCAACATCATTAGCCGAAGGAAGATTGAAGTGCTTGGCCGGGTACTCGTAGCTTCCATACTGACTCTACTCAACTACAAGCTTGGGGAGCTTCACACGTTTGAAGGATACTCAAGGTGTATATTCAGAGATGTCCAGAGATATTTTCAGATAACAAGAGGTCCAGAGGGAAGTAACACCCGCTGGGGCCTTTCAGCTTCCTGACGACCTCGTCCATCATGGAGGCTCGCTGAAGCACTTCTCGTCTCCCGACGTCGCCAGGCTCAAGGCTGCAAAGCTAATGCCCTTTGCTACTAGTAGCTTCTCGTTACTACTTTGCTTCTAGCTCCTAGTAGTGATGCATAGTAATGCCATTGCTACTAGTAGCTTCTTGTTACTACCAGTAAGGCACCTTGCTACTAGTAGCTTTCTAGCTACTAGAAGCGCTACTAGAAGCAATGCTCTTTGCTACTAGTAGCTTCTTGTTACTACTAGTAAGACACCTTGCTACTAGTGGCTTCTAGCTACTAGAAGCGCTACTAGAAGCAATGTGCTTTGCTACTAGTAGCTTCTTGTTACTACTAGTAAGGGACCTTACTGCTAGTAGCTTCTAGCTACTAGAAGCGCTACTAGAAGCAATGTCCTTTGCTACTATATAGTAGCTTCTTGTTACTAGTAAGACACCTTGCTACTAGTAGCTTCTAGATATTAGAAGGGCTACTAGAAGCAATGCCCTTTGCTACTAGTAGCTTCTTGTTACTACTAGAAAGGGACCTTGCTATTAGTAGCTTCTAGCTACTAGTAGTAATGCATAGTATTGCCCTTTGCTACTAGTAGCTTCTTGTTACTCGTCTCCCGACGTCTCCAGGCTAAAGGCTGCAAACCTTGTGATCTTCGCGGGGCCTCGGGAGATGTTCTCCAGCGACGAGTTCACAGCCATCAAGGCGAGTCACAGCATTTTTTGTAGCGAGAATTGCAAGCAAGAGATTGTAAAACCATCGTGGGTTTCACCTTGCGAGGTGCTGTAGGATGCATTATATTGTTGTGAGTAATCAGACAGACAGAGATGGAGGGGTGGTTTGCTTGGTCTTGAAAACGTCTTGGGCGCACCCGCAGCTCAGCAGCTCGCTTTGGGCCACCGTGGCAGGACTATCTGAGTGAAGGAGGTAGCATCCTTTTCCTTGTTGGCGAGGGCGGCGAAGGCCGCACAGACCTGCATGTTTCGATCTCTCAAAATTAATGTCGGTGGTTTTTCAGGCCTCCTAATCTTTGACAAGTCATAAAGAATGTTTTTCATACATCTATGTATGCAACTTTCTTTTTTTTGTATAGTCATACAATTGATTTTAGTGTGTGTTCTTTCTGCTTTTGTTTTTATGCTTGCGTATGATGACACCACCTGGCAGGCAAGAGTAACACGAACGTGAATTACTTGCTTGAAGAGTGCTTTGGCAGCAAGGAATACAGTACAGATGAGACAACTTGTATTGACACCCAAAATTTTTGGATTCTGCAACATCAAACTATCCACTGTTGATGGGAAAGAGGGCCTTCCAAACAGATATTTGGACCTGCCTTCAGTTAGATGGACTTGGAGTGCCAGAAACTGCCGGTAAGAGTGGCAATGCCAAAAAGCTTCCTATATAGCTCAGCACATTGTTGTTGTGGTCCATGGCTATACGACAACGATGCTTTGTTTCTCTTGCAAGGTTCGGTATGAGTGTCAACAACGATGCTGTTGCCGGCACCTGAAGTCATTTGCTGCACAATCCTTTTTTTAAGCCCACATTTTAAGTGACATGTCAGTGGGACGGATTCACAGTGGTTGAAGATTTCCACTAGACTAGTAAACTTCATTCTGGGTGCCACAAAAGCTCATTTGCATTCTGTAACTGCTACTTGTACGGCCAAATTCTGGTTATGCTGCTCGTGCAAAGGACGATAGGTAGGCCAAGCATCAACCCCCCCGGATGTGAGATGCCAGCTCAGTATGCAAAGTTTTCTTTTTCACTCGCAGACGTTACATGTTTTGCTGAAACCGATGAAACCGATGAAACCTTTTTGACTAAGAGTAGGATATGGCAGGATACATTGAGCCTTCCGAGAAGTGCCCAGCTGCAGTGCATTGCCTTCGCATTTAGCCTACTTGGCTCAGAGAGTGTTACCACTTCGTCACTTTGGCCCGTGAGTCTTGGACAGATTGACGCCATGAGGGTGTGGCGAGTGTGCTTCCTTGCCTTGCTCTGCTCTGCAGGCTACGAATACGTGGGGGTGCATGTGTATGCATGCGTACAGTAGGTTTCCAATTGAACTACTTTCCAGAATCATTCCTGATTTGTGAGAACAACATGATCTACAATCTCCCAAAGTCAGGAACTGTAGAGTCCTTGGAAAGGTCCACTGGGGCTTCAGTTGTGTTTCAGCCCTTGGAGACACATTAATTGAATCAAGGGACATCCTCCTGTGCCCTGCAGGACTCGCAGTGCGAACTCGGCATGGCAACACATCAAATTCATCAAAGTGACTTGGCCTTGGATTCTTCCGAGGTCAAGACTCAGGAAACTGCAATTTTCTTTTGTTTTCATGGACTTCCATACACATCAGGGTCTTGTTTTTCCTGTCAAGTCTGGGAATGTTGTGCATGAGTATGAGATGCAGCGGAACCATCCGTAAATCCATGAGGAGGTTGAGAGGGCATGTCTCTCTACTACGGAAATGGTGGCACATATATAGATGAAACTGGACCTCAAGTTGTGTCCTTATGACACTGGACAATTTGGAATTCTTCTTCCATAGCAACTTGGACACAAGGTCATTAGGATCAATGGGTTGATTTGTGTATGTAAGAATGGAAGGCAGTTTTGGTCTGCACTCAGGCCGGCTTCAAAGGTTCGGCCTCAGCTGCAGCTGAGCTTTGGCGGCATTGTTGAGCTCAGCTCAGATGGCTCCCAGCGGATGAAGATCTTGGCAGAGGAGTCCAAGCTGATGATCATCATGGAGGATGGGCAACAGGTTCTTGATGGGACAGGACCACCCTTGTTTTTTGCATTCTTTTGTGAGTATAGTAGGTGTTACATGGTGTTACACATGTGCGGAAAGACAACTAGCTGTAGCTGGTTCCTTGTGACGTGGCCAGATGCATTGTTTGCAAATGCTAAGTTTGCAATGTGCATGTTATTTTCGTGAGGTTTGAAGGAAAGGATCGCCACAGATGCTTCCACCAAAAAGAAACCATACGCCATTTTGAAGTGCATGCTCCAACCGTACAACCCTTTGATCAATGTCAGAAGCTGGGCACAGGAAGCAGCGTGCGTCTGTTGTGTGCACACACTGGTAGAATTCTTTGCATGATCAGAACAAAACGGTGTTGAGCACTGATACGCTGGATATGCTTGCATTTGTATGAAGATGGTGCTGCTCGCAAGATGATGTGGCGATGATGATGACAATGAGGACTTTGCACAAGGCTAATTCTTGATGACTTTCCATCTCTTTAATGATTTGGGAGTCCAAAAAGAATCCTTCAAAGCGGTATAAAGCGGTTCTAAAATTGGTGGGTATGTGGCTTGAGTGAATACGCCAACGTAATATTGCAGAAAAAACACAGCAAACATCAGCAAACTGTTTAGGTGATCTACTAGTAGCTTCTTGTTACTAGTAGTAATGGCCTCCAACCTACAAGCGATGGCCTCCAACCTAATAAGGAACAGGATAGAAGCTTGTTCCTCGGGGTGTGTTGCCTTTGTTGCTTCCAACTGCTAGGCGTTGAAAGCATCCAATCACTCAAACCCGACGGCAGTGCCCAACGACCGCACCATTGTCGATGTGAGTGGCTTTGCCAGGCCAGAGGTCGAATATGGCTGTGTTTGAAAGGACCCGTGAATGAGACATAGTAACAAGTGCATCACTCCAGTAGCTTCTTGTTACTAGTAGTAAGAAAAGGAGCCCCTAGTAGCGTCCTTGCTCCTAGTAGCGATGCCAGGAGCCCCTAGTGGCTTCTTGTTACTCGTAGTAATGCACTTGTTACAAGAATATTCATTTGTTCGATTGTCATAGTCATAGACGTTAGTCGTTCGATACTTTCTATCGACATTGGAAGCGAATCTGTGTGTAGAAAAGCACAAAAGCCCTTGGGGCTTGGCCAAATCATGCCAAACCTCTCGTCTCGTGGGGTGGTGCACGTCGGCGCAGAAAGCAGAGTTGTGAACGCTGATGAATTGATATGCTTTTTCCGCTGGGTTGTGATTGTTGGTGACTTGCATTTTCTAATTTTTAAAGCTGAGATCCGTCCAAAAGTCTTGGAACCAAAAGCTTTACATCGGTAGGTCATACATTGAGCATACATTGAGCATTCATTGAAAACCGACGAGGAAAACCCAAGACCGATGCCTTTGTATCATACATAAGCACATACGTGCGTACATACTACTACTCTACTCTGCTACTACTACTGCTACTACTACTCCTCCTGCTCCTACTCCTGCTCCTACTCCTGCTACTACTACTACTCCTACTACTACTACTACTACCTACTATTACCTACTACTACCTACTACTACCTACTACTTACTACATACTACCTACTACCTATACTATAAACTACCTACTACCTACTGCCTGCTACCTGCTTCCTGCTACCACCTACTACTACTACTACTAGTACCTACTATTACCTACTACTACCTACTACTTACTACTCACTACTTACTACCTACTACCTGCTACCTATACTATAAACTACCTACTTTCTGCTACCTACTACTACTACTACTACTACTACTACTTGCTAATTTTCTGTTTTTCACCAGCGTGTATAGACCGATGCCTAACCGATGCCCTAACCGATGCCACGGAGTGACTTCCAGACACCCGATCAAGGGACATGCCCACTCGAGAGCAGATTTTAGGGTTCAAATGACATGCCCAAGAGAAAGGGACTAGCAGCTGCATATGTGAGGTCCTTGAACTTGTGAAAAGTTGTATGCTCTGCTGTCCGTTGCTTCGCCATGTCCATGACTATACTTTTGCTTGGAAACATACGGTATGTTAGTGAAATTCACCAAACATTGGAAACCGACGAGGAAAACCCAAGCCCGATGCCCTGTCCTAATGACCGCTCTCAGATGTAGGGAATTTTGGACCGACCTCAGCTGTAGTTGCCATGCAGCGAGCTTCTTCCACATTGTTCAAACATTACGGCTCAACTTATTTGGGATCTCTCACAGGACTACTTTTTTGCCATAGCCTTACGTGACAACATTTGACAACGAAATGACGATGACATCCTAGTTCAGCGCATTGGACAAAATACTCACATATAGTCATTATATCATATAGTGCTGGATGCGCTGGTAGTTTTGCTTTTGCTTAAACTCTGTTTGTCATTTGGTCAGGCATGAACATCAGCATTTCTTCAATGAGACGGTCTGCTATACATTTGTGCCTTGATGAGATTTGGGTTGTAGACCCTTGACACGGCTGAAGGATGCAGGTTTGGTTGTTGGGTTTGGTCATTTGGTCACAGCCTCTTTGTTGCACATCGTAAGGACTGATGTAGGTTGACAAGAGATAGAGTTACTGTAGGAAGCCCTGGTTTGCATGTTATTCAGAAATGGAGCGCTCAGCGATTTTTTGTTTGTTTGATGCTAAGTTAGTCTACAGGGAGGTCCGAGAGATTCTCAAGCTGCATGAGTTTCAGCAACCGCAGGATTCAGCAGTGTGAACATGCACCAAGAACTCGCATGACTCCGGCTCAAGCTATCTCAAGCTCCTCAGAGCCGTTACAACATGCAAAACTTGTCGATCCGTGAAAAATACAGAATCAAATTCAAATTCAGCCAACAAATCTTTGCTATATAATTGACGCTTCGAGTGCCTTTGGACCTTAGATATCCTTGGTTCTCATGTTCGCGCTATTGAATGAATGAATGAATGAATGAATGAATGAAATACATTCGCCAGCTGGCCCTGGTTTTGTTGGCAATCTCTCTGGTATGGACCTTCAGGAAGGCTACTTATCTCTTGCTGAATGCCGATGACCACTTCGTGATACAATCGAATGGACAGACCTGCATTTTCACCATCGGAGCCTTTCAAAACTATGGCTTGGTGACCTCTTTTCTGGAGCGTGCTGAAGTGCTCCATCCGGAAGTAAAATGTTTTGTGTGGGTCGTGTCAGACAACCATGACATGTGGCTTGAAGCGAAGAAGCAGATCCCCAAGAAGATCCTGCAAGGTGTGCCACGGAGATGGCACGTGGTGACCCTTGATCTACTTGCGCCATATATGAATATCAGCTACCTCGAGCTAGCATTTCGCTATTCCAAGGACTGTCTCCAGACAGCTGTAAAGCCAGCTGCTTTCAAGTACATTTTTTTGCGGTGGGATGCAAGCAAGGTCTTGTTTTTCGATGCAGAGACTTGGCTTTTGCAGCCTGTCTCGAGTGTTTTGAGCGCACTTGACAGACACAGATTGGTGATGACCCCGCACAGCACAGAGCCTTTGAACTTGGAAGTCATCGGCAAGGAGCAACAACAATATTTTCAGAGGCCTTATGATCTAAATTTTGTGGGCATGTCCGCAAGCGAAGGCGGAGCCGTCTTTCGATGGATTGATATTTGGATGGACCGGGTGATTCATTATGCGTGCGGATGGCCGAATCCGCAAAAACAAATGCACCTTGATAGCAGCGTCGGGCGAGCTGTCGCTTGTACACTTGAAATTTGGGTCGCTTGTGCACTTGAATTTATGGTCGCTTGTACACTTGACATTTGAGCACTGTCCGAACATGTCGTCACCAAACGCTTTAGGTTGGTCGGTCTTACACTGAGCATACATTGAAAAACCGATGAGGTAAACCCAAGACCGAGGTCTTCGATTGAGCATACATTGAAAACCGATGAGGGAAACCCAAGACCGATGCCTCTGTATCATACATCGGATAAGTACTACTACTACTACTACTACTACCACTACCTTTATATACTACTACTACTACTACCACTACTACTACTACTCCTGCTACTACTACTACTACTACTACTAGTACCACCACCACTACTACTACTACTGCTACTACTACTACTACTACCAATAGTACTGCCACCCCAACCCACTCATTATAGTTTGCGCGCGCAAGTGAGTTTGTATGGCAGAAGTATGCTTTGAAAGGCAATCAAAACGTGAGTGCGTGCGTGTGTGTGTGTGAAGATGTTGACCTTGTCCAACTTGGCAACCTTTTCAGCAGTTCAGAGTCCCTTTGTATGGTTGGCAACTGCAACCCCCCCACCCCACCCCCCACCCCCCACCCCCCACCCCAACCCATTCACTAGTTCATTGTGGAGTAGGCACCACCCGTTGCTAGGAAGCAGGTAAGTGCGCAAGTGACCTAAATTTTTGATGCCAAGTGCGCAAGTGACCCAAAGTGCGCAAGTGACCGAAATTCCCAGTGCGCAAGTGACTGCCCGGCCGCAGCGTCGCTGATCTGATTCTTTCGTATTTCCCAGGTGATGAATATCTTGTTCTCCAAGATCCCATCTACAATGTGGGCTTCTGGAACATTCACTATCGTGGTAGCCACCTTCATCTAGAGGGTGATCAGATCATGTATGACTCAAAGCCAGTGGTTTTCATGCACTTCGCAGGTTTGTCAAGCCTTCATGATTGTAACACCAAAGTGGCTGAGCATCGTGATTTGCCACAGTTGATTCACTTGCGACCCATCTTGCGAAAGTATTTGGAGAGTGTCTCCAATGAGTCGATGGTTTCAATGTGCCGCCGGGTGCCGTATGGCTTTGATAGTTTTAAAGATGGCACTTTGATCCCAGATCTCATCCGCAAGTACTACGGAGAGATCTTGGATGCTCCCCAAAACTTCCAAGATGATGCTCGGCTTTTTCGCGACTTGGTGGCCTATGAGGATCCCTTTAGCATCCACGTCCAGAGCAAGCTTTCGGTGCTGTCCTGGATGTTACAAGGAGCTCACCACTTTGTGATCGAGCCACGTGGGCAATTTTGGGTGCCGGAATTGTTGTGGCAAGTCTACAAGATTCGACCGGATCCTTGATTTGCATCAGGACTTATCTTGTGATTTATAAGAAACTAGATCAGAGTACATACGGTAAGATTATGTGCGCAGAAGACCTAGATGGGCAGATTGTTGGGGAGGATTGCTCGTAAGTACTGTAGTCTTTTTTTGTATTCAAGAGTGGACCCTTAACATTCACAGGTCAACATCTTTTGGCGTGGACTCACAAAAATACTACACCAAACCCAGCGCACAAAGAGCTACCGTTTTCAACCAAGAAAAGCACAAACTTGGACCGTTGCTGTGTCTGTTGTGGGGGCCTTGGTCCGCTTGGTCCAGTGGTATCGGTATTGAACGTGCAATACTGTACTCATTACTATTACTAGTCTCCACAATATCCACACAACGGCTCTGACTCGATTCATATAAGTCAGTTGGGTTATAGAACTGGGGAACCTTTCAGGAATGCCTTTCAGTCGCTGGACAGGCTTGGACCGTTGAGTCAAAATCGCTTGCCCTAAGGATTTGCAGATCGCTTTTCCGGATCCCTTCGGCAAGGATTCTGCAGAGCTACGACGCTGGTTCCAATATGACGGACTCCCACAGATCGAGATCTCACTCGTGCCTCACTTTTTTAGCCAAGCGTCAACAGATGAGTCAACTGGCAAATCTAGCGGCTTGTTCTTTTCTTGTGTGTGTTATTCCCCCATTCAGCACTGGTTACCGTTTTTTCTCGCTCCAGATTGGAAAAACACTTCGACTTCAGGTCAATTCAAGATCCGAAAGGATGAACTACCATTTGGCGTGAACGTCTATGGCTGGTTGAATGGGGTCTTTGGGGTAGGTGAGGCCAGCCGCTTGACGCTCCGTGCACTCGAAGTGGCAGAGATACCCTCCACCGCCATTCTGCTGCCGACCACCGGAATGCACAACCAGGTGAATGTGATTGAATGTGTCTCAAACATGGTACACAATATAGACAGATGCATTATGATGCATAGACTGTATAGATACATATCATATAGTGACATGTTATGTTTTCCCAGAATGTCTGGAGGCATGTTCTTAGATTCCGAACGAGAGCGCCCTAGCAGCCATGAGACATGGTAGGACCTTTTCCTAGTTCATTGAGTGAATCACTGTGGCAGAGGTGAAGTTGGTGCAAACCACTCGGATCCCTCGCTACTCCGTCAACTTGTTTGTGGCCAATGCGATCAACACAGATGAAGTTACGAGAGTTTATCCCACTGGAGAGTGGAGAAGGCACCACAACATTGGATATTGGGCTTGGGAGCTTGAACGATTTCCCTCCTCGTGGCTGCGCTATTTGCAGCGTTATGACGAGGTTTGGACAGTGTCAGATTTTGTCACCCAGTCGATTTTGTCATCGCCCGACTACGACCGAACGACGCCTGTCACTACAATGCCCATGGGTTTGGACATGAATCTGACCAACTATCGAGAAAATCGGCAGCGCTTCAACTTCCCAGGAGGCACTACAGTCTTCTTGGTGATGTTTGATTTCTTGAGTAGCTTTCATCGCAAGAACCCCTTGGCTGCGTTGGCTGCCTTCAGAAGCGCATTTGAGGCGCAAGAAGGATCACCCAAAGTCCTACTGGTGATCAAATGCCTTTTACCCAAGGGGGCTTTTGCGTTTGAGCAAGAGTTTGCCCTTTTGGAGCACATGGTGAGCAAAGCAAGGAATGTCCGAATCATGACCGAAGTGCTTTCCAAGGAGGACCTCAACACATTGATGGCCTCTGTGGACGTTTTGGTGTCCTTACATCGTTCGGAGGGTTATGGCCTGGTATTGCTGGAGATGCTGATGCTGGGAAAGCCGGTAATTGCAACAGGCTACAGTGGCAACATGCAGTTCATGTCCAAGCTTCCGATCGAATTTCAGTTCCTGCAGATTCCCTATGCTTACATTCCTGTAAATGTGTCAGAGCACTTTCAAAAAGTGTACACCTCTGACCAAAGATGGGCAGATCCAGATGTGGAGGCCGCGGCAAAAGCCATGTACAAGCTCTATTCTGATCCAGCTCTTTTGCAGAGGTGTCGGACCGTGCTTGGGCCACTCTTCCGAGAGCAATTCGGGCCTGCGCGGATTGGTGAACAGATGAGAACGATCTTGGAATTATCAGCAGAAAATTTAGACCTGAAGGCTGCAGGAGTCCGGTATCTGCAAGGAATAAATGATGTTTTGGGGTAGTATCTACTATGTAGACCGACTAAAGAGCAAGGCCTTCAAGTCACTGAGACGTCTCCAGAAAGGCCATACATACGGAAAGTGATGAACGTGCTCTAGTGGCCCTTTAAAGTGCCATCTCCACTTCCTGCTTTTATCAATGCTTGGCTTTGCCGGCATTGGACATCTCCGCTCCCTGTTTGGCACCCCAATGTTGGCGGTTCTTCAGTGGATTTTGAAACCATGATAGGAAATCTGCCATTCGAACTGCACCCTGCTTTTTTTCCTTTAATCACTTGCCACCTTAGACAAGCTCCGCAACCCATTCAAGATTCCTAAATCAAGAACAATTTCTTGGCTTCTCAGATCTGATAGAGGCAGATTCTTCCCTGCCAAGTAGCCCACCGAACATTTTGGACACACTTTGGCTGAGGACCTCTTCCCTGGTGAAGGAGTGATGCTTCCAAGCCAGTGGCAGTGGAAACATTTGGCATCCCATGGTCAGCTATTTCGGAATGACAAGGAGGAGGACAAGGACGACGATGAAGAAGAGGAGAAGCCACCCGAGAACCGGAGCGATGACATCAACGCCACCGAGAAGAGCATCATGATGAAAAAGGAAATCAAGAAGTTGATTTTCTTGAGTGCGATGATGCTTGGATGGCATCGCGTGGTTTGGGGCGCATATACATGCACATATAATCCGTATACCGTATACAACGTACTGTATTTATATGCATTTAATTCTATACATACGTATACACTATATATATATATATATGTTTACTGTATACGGCACACATTTTGTTGAAGCACCGAAGACTGTGGAGCCAACACTTCGGGCATTACTTGCTAGGAGGTGAGGTGGAGTCATTCTCAATATATGCCGCATTGAAGCTAAACATCCTCGCCTCGAGGTATTCTCTGTCAGGTTTGATAGAAAGGCTGGTCATTTGTGGCAAGAGCTCAGAATCCAGATTGGCTTTGTTTGAGGAGTGATGTTTTTGGAGCTCCCCTTCAGTTCTACGACCGAGCCTCTGCAGTGGAAGGACAGATGTCGCTGTTGCCGCCATGGGGGTGTACCACCGCTCGGTCACCGGCTGCGCCCAGGAGTGCAGCAGATAGCAGGGAAACATTGCACAGTTTGGCAATTGAATGAATCCAGAACAATGCGTATGGGCCGCCTTGTCGAGGCTGAGGGAGATGGAGGGAGGGTAGAACCAGGTAGAATTTGTAGAGCCTGGAACAGACTTCAAGGCCTCGGGGGGTCCTTCGGTCAATGCATGTCAATACAGTGATTACAACATATTACAGCATTATGGTGTGAGCTGTTGGACAACACGCTTTTCTGAAAGTGTGACAAATGAAGTAGTTAAAGTGTTGAAAACGAGAACATGAGAAGACTCTGTTCCTTCACTCCCCCCTTTCACAGACTCCTAGAAGACTGTCACAAGAAGCTACTAGGTGGAGGCCATCGCTACTAGCAACAAGAAGCTACTAGGGGCTCCTGGCCTTACTACTAGGAGCAAGAAGCTACTAGGAACAAAGGGCATCGCTACTAGGAGCAAGAAGCTACTAGGGGCTCCTGGCATCGCTACTAGGAGCAAGGACGCTACTAGCACATGATGAATACTGTGTTCCCAACCGCCGAGTGGTCCCTTGGCCCTTGGCGTGGCCCGTTCGTCGTCCGTCCACACCGTCACTGCACTAGGCCGGTGATGGGACCGAGGGATGCTCCGAGCTGGTGAGTAGCCTCAGAAAGGTCTTCTTTGGTGGTTGACCAGGATTTTTTCTTCGAAAGCTACGTGCCAGGCAAAAAACCTTGGGTTCAAGTTGAATGGTCCAAAGGGCTTGGAGTCTTTGAGGATTGGGCAGGCTGACAAGCTCTTGCAAACTCATATTATTTCTAGGTTTATTGCAAACTCAGTCTTTTGTGGCTCAGTGGACCATGTGGACCGCGATGGTGGAAGCTTCCTGAGGTCAATGCAAGCTGCAAAGCTGGGGAATGGGCATCTTTGTTTCTAAGGCACAAGTTGTTCGACCTGTTCCATCGTCACTTGACGTGTCGGTCACACGTTTCTCAAGAGCAGCGCAACAAGTTCAATCGAGTTGACATGTACAAAATTGTACAAAGGTGTTGCTGCAGGTCTTGAGCAACAGGAGCACCCCACGTAATATTGGAACTATATAATATTACTTATATTGCATTATATTTCATTATACTAAATCATATTACAATACTTTAGTTTATATTGTACTCTATTGTATTATATGCTATTATACTATACCCTATTATACTATAGTAACTATATTATATTATAAAACTGTTTTTTTTTCTTGAACACATATGTGTATATATATATATATGTATAGTTTCTGTTTAAACGATTCGATGGCCTTAAAGCTTTGCGCTAGATTTGATGGTCTTGCGTGACCGTAGCGATCTGAAAGTTTGCCACGGTTGGATCAACATCATGTTCACCGTTCTCCACTCCTTCTGGTGGAGGCATTCTCTTGGTGATCGGCCCAGCATTCAACTCCAATCCTTACTCACACAGAGGGCAGGCCTTGGCAGAGGCGACTTGGGCGCGTCACTGTGTCACCGGCTGCGGCCAGTTCGCGAAGAGATGCGAAGAGTATGTCCATGACTCTAGCACGCCGTTGCAATATTTCTGTATCTGTTTGTAAATGGTTTTTGCAGCAAGAATTGGTCAGGGTAGCTCGGAGTAGTAGCTCCTGGACCAGACTTTGGTTCCCCGATGTTCCCTGATATTTCAGACTTTGACCCTCGCCGGATTGTTGTGGTTGGGTGGTTTTCGAGTCCGCCGTGATCGGGGAAGCGGTGTCTGGTTCGAGTGTTTCGGTCTCTCAAACTTTGGAAGGATGGTTCGTCGAATCTTGGGCACAGACTGGTGCAAAGAAGCTAGTAGGTTACAGGCCATCGCTACTAGGCCATCGCTACCATTAGCAAGAAGCTCCTAGTAACTTCCTATGAGGAGAATTGCTCCCGCACACTTGCCGTTCCGACTCGCTTTGCCGCTGTCCACCAGGTTTCCTTCCCCCGGTCTCAAGTTCATCGGGGGCAATTAAGTGACTTCGAACCTCTGCTAGAACGTCTAGATGACAGAGGATCCGAATACTCCTGCTCGATGGGCGGTCGGTGTGCTGAATCATGCTGAATCGCATGTGGGTGAAATATCTTCAAATTGACATTTTGGCATTTTTGACCGATGTCGCATTTGATCTCAATTGCAACCAGCTCCAGCCGATCATGGATGTATTCCACCCCCCAGAGCCTCACTGCCACCTCTCCAGGTCTGGCCACTATGACGGCAATCTTTGATTTCTGCGTCACCGAGCAAGGGGAGTTGTTGTCAACTGAGGCTTTGCAGCATGGCTTAATGCTGAATATGTCCGCATCCCTTCAGCAGGTGATCTTCCTATGCAGAAGATACTGTTCCATTCTAATGCGGACATTGCTTGCTGTCGAAGAGAGCCAAGTTTGTTTGAGTTTGTCCCTTGTTGGTGAACAGTCTCTTAGGTACAAGCTCACTTACCAGCGGAAGGCAGATGAGACTCACAATGAGACTCGCAGGACCTGCCTGACTGCTGTTGATGCAGCAAGTTGTTGCTCTACAATAAAGGTCTCTACTTTGCTCATGAAATTCGAAAGATCCAACTTTCCAACCTCTGATTGCTTGGAATCTTACGTGCCATGGGGCCTTCACTGGAATTCCTTCTCCAATTTTCTCCTCTAATATTCAGGATTGCATCGGATGAGCGAAGCTCCAGGAATCAATTTGCTCAACAGACAGCTTGCATGCAGGACCAATCAATCAGCGGTTGCCTCCCGTGCAGTAAGTCGCCAGGAGGTGTTGATCCGAGGAAACGTAACAAGCAGAATGCATCGCTCGACCAAACTGGGAAGAACTTCACAACTTCCTAAGCATTTTCAGAGAAAAGGGCAGATGCTTCAATAGGTGAAACACGATGAGCATCATCTTTGGAGGACGAACTTGTTGAACTTCTCTTGAATGCTCGCAGCTGCATGACAAATCGGTTTTCCAGAGGCCGAGGAGGCTGGCAGCTACACGGTCTTCGAGCGGAAGTCAGGGAGTAAGTTGATTCAAGCACTTCCGAGGCCATTAGGAGCAAGAAGCCGGGCTCCTGGCATCGCTACTAGGAGCAAGGACGCTACTAGGGGCTCCTGGCCGTACTACTAGGAACAAGAAGCTACTAGGAACATCTAGGAACAAAGGTCAAGCACTTCCGAGGCCATTTCCAGCTTTTCGAGTTTGCTCGTTTAAAGCGTGATTGATGTCCTTGTGATAGCCACCGCAGGAAAGCAGATTTCCCAAACAGCAAACAAAGTTCATGACAATGGTGTACAATATCGATTATGTTCTGGTATGTTTACAGAGGGAACCAACATGCTGCACAGATATCCTATGATATCCTGATAAGACAATAGTAATAGATAGTAGTAGTATTATATACATGGTATTAATATGTACTAACTATATATACATTGCCTTAGGTGTCTAAAGCTAGCTATGCCAAATGGAATCGTGATTGAACTAGATTCTCTTGTCACACACATGTCATTGTTAATCAACGCGAACACACGGGTTAGCAAATTATATATATATATGTTCGACCAGCCGATTGGAGGCCCAATGGTCTTGAACTTTCGGCGACCTTTGGGGTGGCTGGTGGGGAGTGCGTGAACTTGAAGCAGGCAGGAATCAAAGAGCAACGCATGCTAAAACGTGTTAAGGCTCCTGTAGGGGCAGTGAATGGCAGTGGTATTTGTGAATTCAAAAAGCCGAAATGTGTAACGCTAAGCCCCAAATTTCTCACCGCACCCTAGCGGATGTAAATACAGAGACTGTGACAATATGATTCATTTGCTATGGTCGGTATGCTCCATGAACACCATATTTAGTATACATATGTGTGTAGGTCGTTTAATGATGTTTAATGCAATATATAAATACAAACACTTGAACACACTCTATCTCCACGTGCAAACCGCACATGTCACCGGCACATTCTTGCAATATACAATGTGGATATGCGGGGACGATCCAGTGCAGCATTGCTGGCTGGGTCACTGGAAGGGGCTGAACTCCCCTATGACACCTGCGTCCAGGTTGACATGCACAGTATAGGTCGAGGGGGCTGTGCATGCAGTGCCTTTGGTTCCTGGTAGGAATCTGCTTGATTGATACCTGTCTTGGTACTTGAAACTTGCTCTTCCGGCGTGTGTGTGGAGTGATGGAGTTTGTCCTCGGTTTGTTGTGATGTCTGTGAGACGATGGAGTTTGCAGGCGGTTCCTTGCGACTCATGCGATGATTCGGCTTGCGACGCGTATGCACTCTCATGTGCCCTCAACATTGTGGAAATACTGTAAGTCAGAGGTGGAGTCACTGTGTCAATTATATTTTCTCAATTAGTATGTTTATTCTTTTAATAATTGGTGAGGTGGGTAGGTGGTGGGTGTCAATCATTAAAACCGTGGTCAGTTGCATGATGCTTGACACCTGTCTAGCCACCCTGAATAAAAACCCAACATAGTGTCAACCCACCTAGATTAAAATTCCAACATGTAACATAGAGTCAACCCACCTGGATTAAAATTCCAACATAGAGTCAACCCACCTAGATTAAAATTCCAACATAGAGTCAACCCACCT